CGAACCTGAGGGAAGAGGAGCCTGCGGGCCGACAGGGGAAAACGCAAGGTTGGGCTGACCACCAGCTCGCTTTTTGCAAAAGTCCCCCTGTTTGCAGACGCCTCGGGTACTGTTGGCGGAACACAACAGCGCAGCTATATATTTATCAAGAGAACGAATGGACTGAGCAAGGCGATCCTCAAGCTCAGCTCGATTATAGACAGCACAGAAAGGAGGTTGGGAAGAGATGCAGTGATGGGCCCCCCTGCCCGCGCTCACAGTGGAGTCACGCGGGAGGGGGCAAATGGCACTTAGCGGGGGCCAGGGCTGCTTCAGCACGTGCACGAACGTCAGGAGGTGCATCACCAGCTTCGCCAGGCTGCTTGGCCGCCTCGCCTTCGGACGGGCCCGCCGCAGTGCTGGCAGCAGCGCGGCCGACGGGGCCTGACCCAGCGCCGTTGGCCGCAGCTGCCTGGCCTGGCCCAGCGCCGCCACCAGAGACGGCCGCGCCGTCCTCGCCCTTCCTCTTCTTGCCAAGACGCTGAACATGCTTTGCTTGCTCATCACGAGCAGACTGGGCCTTCTCCAGCGCCCCCTTGAAGAGGGAGTTGCACGCCTCGCGGAACTGTTCGTTGAGAGCTGCACGTCGAGCTGCCATCTGCTCCTTGTCATCGTCGGAGACCTCGTACTCGCCCTCGTCGAAGAGGAAGATCGAGTCCAACGAGACCATGTCCAGCACGTTGCAGGAGCCCTGCATGAGCTCGGACACATCCACCTTGGTGCGCCCGAGAGGCTCTGCGGGGGTGGGATCGACCACGTTCCCAGCCAGCTCGCGGGCCAGGTCCTTGTAGTTGTCGTCGGCAGCCTGCAAGGACTGCTGAGCCGCCGCCGTCGAAGCCTTCTGCTCCTCCACCTGCTTCTCCAGCTTGGTGAGCTTGTCAAGCTCGGTGGACAGCTTGCGCTCCCAGTACTGCACGCTGCTGTGGGCCTTGGCTGCGCGCTGCTGGACGGGGGCGGGAGTGGTGGTGCGGAGCAGCTTGTCGAGCGCCGTCTTGTGACGAGTGGCCGCCTCACCGTCGCCAGACTTCTCGCACAGGCCAATGAGCGTCCGCAGCTCGGTCTCGGACAGCTTGGCCGAGGAAGAGCCAGCTGGATGCCCGCCAGCACCGCCAGGGCCCCCAAGAGCAGGAACAGGCGCAGGCTTGAGGGCAGGCCAGTGGGTTCCCGACCTCGGCCAGCCCCCGACGAGATTGGGGGGTCCTGCACGCATCTCGCCGCAGTGCTTGCAAGCGATCCAGCCCTCGAGGTTCTTCTTGCATCCGCATGCCTCGCAACGCCAGCGGCGGCCCGACCACGACACAGTGTCCTGACGGGGGGGTGACCAGCTCCGATGGCCATCGCCGTCGGCCTGGGTGCCCCACTGGCCCGACGGAGGTCCAGTCCTGGCCGCCGACCCTGCACGCCAGGGCGCCTGGGTCGCCCACGCCCCGCCACCATTGCTGCGAAGCTGCCAAGCATTCTTGGCCATGCGAGAGAGATTCCGAAGCCAAAAACTGGCTCGCACACACAATGCTGTCCTGAAGTTGGTGTGTGCAATGCCCAAAAGCTCGGGCACAGGACAGCTGTTCTGGAGGGGGGGGGGGGGCAGGGGGAGGAGGAGGAGGAGGAGGGAGGAGGAGGAGGGGAGGAGGGAGGGGGAGGAGGAGGGGGAGGAGGAGGGGGCCGGTGCCGCGGGGTCTCTCCCGTTTGGGGCGGTCCCCCTTCGTGCGCCTCGTCATTGGCCTGCTGCCTCTTCCCCTGCTTCTCTTCCTTCTCCTCGATCCTCCCCCCTTCCCTCCTCGATCTATCGCATCTCTTTTTTTGTCCTCCTCCTCGTCCTCCTCCGCCTCCTTCTCCCCCTCCTCTCCTCCTCATCTCCCTCCTCCCTTCTCATCCTCCTCTTTCTCCTTCTTTTTCTGTTTCTTCTCCCCTTCCTCCTCCTCCTTCTCCTCCTCCTCCGCCTCCTCCGTGGGCGTTTTGGCTCAAGAGCTTCGGGGGCCGCGCTCTCAACGCAACTCGCTCCGACGCGCCGACCGACGGCATGCCCGACCGCCACCAGGCGAGGAGGTGGCAGCCAAGAAACGTTCGGCTCACGCTGAGGCAGCCCGGCCACCCGCCACTAGGCGCGGTCAGCGCGGCCAAAATAGCCACCCCAACTGTGAATGATGAGACCAAAGTGGGGATCGTTTTTTCATTCATTGTTTTGCCGATCGGCGCGGGCCCCCAAACACCCGCTCCCCCCACCCTGGAGTAGATCTTGGCTGTTTTTTGGCGCCTGTTTCGAGCGGGTGGTGTCTCCCCCACAGGCCGCACTCTCACAAACAGTCGCACTCAGCAGAGGTCCAGAGCCAGACCCCCTCCCCCCCCGTCCGCCGAATGTCGAAACGCCGAATAAAAACCGTTCACGTGAAGGCGCCACAGCCTTGCGGTCCCAGCATCACCGACCAGGGCGAAGGCGCCCGACTGACTACAGTGCAGGCCACCGAGCGGAGGCGCTCCACGCAACGCCCCACGGCCGTCAGTCAATCTGCCGACCCCGACCGCGGGACTGTCCGCACGACCAGCATCGCGACGTTGCATCAGATCAGTGTGCTACGAGACTGGGTCATCAGCTGCGTAGCGCCCAGGCAACATTCAGGTCCCCGTCTCGACACCTTCTGAAGAGCACAGACCGCGTGGATCGGCCGCTATCGGACCCGATCGTCCGCTCGCCTCGGGGCCTCTCCCCAGGCGAGCCACCAGACGCGCCTCGACACTCACCGAAAGCACAGCAGCGCTTCCGTCGCCACGCTCTGCAGACGCTGCGTGAGCGGCCCGCAGCTTTCTGTGGCTCTCGCGCCGCGCCGCCGGGGGGGGGGGAGCCCAAGGCGGCGCCAGCTCTGCCGCGCGTGCCGGGTCACGCCTGCCGAGGCGCGCGTCTGCAGGCGGTGCCTTCTGCTCGGGTGTGCAGACGGAGCGCTCCAAGCTCTGATCGCCACGGACCCGCTGTTCTTTCCAGTCGGGGTCCTCTCGGACCGCGCCCGGGGGAGTGCATGCCCCATCCCCCGATCGCAAACACCCAACACGGCACCTCCGCGCCACAAGAGGCTGGCGCGGAGGGCGCTTGCAGCCCTCGCGCTGGAGGGGCTTCGGCCCGCCGCACTGCTGCGCGCTCTCTCCTCCTCGCTCCTCCTTCCTCTCCTCTTGTAATTGCCAGACGGGGCTTCCTGCCTCTCCGATTTCCTTCTCGTTGGGTCGTTCCTGACGCAAGTGTGCGCCGTGCTCGCTCCAGAGCGCCTCTGGCCTTCCCCGAGGGCCCCCTCGTCGCAACGGCTGGGAAAGGGGGTCGGACAACGGATTAGGGTTGCGTCTGGGACGTGCCCGGGGCTTGGTTCTGAGCGGATCTCGCGCCAGGGGGCGCCAATCCCCAGACTGCCGACGTTTTGAAAGACTCGCGAGACGGTCTGCTGCTCGCATTTGTGGGGCCTGAGTGGGGGCCTTCCTCCGTCCCCAGGATCCGCAGAACAACAAACCACCATGAAAGGCCTGCCTCAGGGATAGACTTCAGTCGGGCCTGTCCATCTACAGGACAAGTATCCAAAAACAGTCAAACAATTGGCAGGGGACGATTTTTTGATTGTGGTTTGACTATTATGGGGCATGTTTGAGGCATGCGTTATTTTCTCGCCCAAACTCTGCCTGTAAGGGGGACGTTTCCGACCTCAGGATAGCGTCGAGAGCTCCTTGGGGGGTGCGTGCATGTCGTGAGACACTTCAGCGGCCCAGAGGTTGACGCCAGCACCAACACCGGCGGTGTGCCGCCACCAGGGGAATGTGATCCCGATCCTGGCGACGGTGGTGATATTGGCGCTCCCCAGATGGCCGAAGAGTCGCCACCAGCGCCAGAATCAAGTGTTCTCTTCCCCCAGCGGACCACCCCTCTGTATTGCTGTTGGTGCCCCTTCCCAAGCCTCCAAAAGCTGTGGGTTTGCAGACGCTGCGCGGGCCCGCGCAGCAACGTGTGCGGACATGCAGTTCCGCGGGGCGCGCCCGCGCCGCACCCGCACGCCCGTCCCCACCCCGGGGGGGTGATAGGGGGCTCCTCCCGCCTCTGGGCAGGCTCCCCCTGGTGTGAGGAGGAGTCTCGCAGGCGATATGTCTCCCCCACGCCTTTGGCTTTGCGACGGAAAACGACCGCTGAGAACCGGAAGGAAACCCTGGGATACACCCCAAGGGGGGCTATCCAGACGCACCCCATATCGAGGATGGACGCCCCCCAACGTATATCCCAGGGTTGGGCCCCCAATTTTTTATCCATTCGAAAACCCCACGAAGCCTGGGATAGGGGTCGACGTATCCCCTGTTAGAGTCCCGGACCTCGGGCGACGCGGCAAAAGTCGCGCCAGAGGTTTGTGGGCATTCTCGGCGTGTGGGGGCCGTTTCTGGGCACCAGGGCCGTTGAGAAGGGATTGTGTATGAAAAGGTCGTCTCGGGGAAAGCGTTGAGAGGTCCAGAAGCTGGCGGCTCTGAAAATCGATTTGTCAGAGGTCTGGGATCTTGCCGTCGTCGCCATTACCTTCACATCCGCGAAGCGGGAAGATGCGTGATTTGGGTATTGGTCGGCCCTCCAATCACCCGCCTTACTTTGTTTGTTTCCATTTGGCGGCCAGTAATAGCGGGGTTGTGGGCCCAGAGCGGGGTTGGGTTCGTCCTTGTCTGTTAGTCGACGCCAAAACGAAAGCGCAACGAGTTGCCTTTGTCCTCCACCCACATACCAGAAGACGAAACTCAACTTATGGCTGGTCCCAGGACTCTGCCCAGGTCCCACCTGACCCCAGTTTCTCAAGCTGGGGCCAGCCGTGGCGAAGAGCAGGGCCCCCAAAGGGAGCACAATATATAGTTATATATATATGTAAAAGAAAGAAAGAAGAGCAAAACAAAACATAAGACAACCAGTGAGGATGACGGGGACAAGGAGGAAGAGGAGGCAATCGCAAAAGGAGGTCGACGCCGAGAGCCTCAAGGCGAGCTTCTCGGTGCTGCCGCAGCGGCCCGCCGCCACCACAGCTGCCCCAGGCACGGGGAACGAGGTGATCCGAGGCACCGCCGCTGGGACGCCCCCTGGGAACCCAAGCGCGGGGAGAAGGGGAGACGGGAGGAAATGGAGATGCCCCCCTTCTTCTTCTCCTTCTTGCCTCCCTTGTGGCCTCCTTACCTACTCCGCCCCCTCCCCCCTCCACTCCCTCCCTCCCTCCTCCTCTTCCTCCTCCTCTTCCTCCTCCTCTTCCTCCTCCTCTTCTTCCTCCTCCTCTTCTTTCATAGCTACCCAACATGAAAACTACTCTCCCCTCTCCGCTGACTTTGTCCGGAGGATGCTCGCTTCTCCCTCCGCGTGCCAGGACCTCAACCATTCGTCCTGCCCCCGATTTTTTTTCGATCGGATGGACTCCGGTGTCTCACGACTGTGCTCCCGCTGCGGCGCGGGGCCAGACTTCGGGATCGGCGCTTTGCCCCCCGCCGTTCCAACGGGCGGCCTCGCCCCAGCGCAGGCCAGCTGCCGCGTGGGCAGCGCAGGCCAGCTCCCGTCTCGCCCCGGCGCAGGCCGGCGCAGCGCTCCAAGATGCAAGACTGTGCTCCCGCTGCCGTGCGGGCCTCGGTGTGGGGTCGGCGCCGTGCTCCCGCAGTTCAGAGCGGCGGTCTCGCCCCGGCGCAGGCCGCTTTGCTGGATCCGAGTCCTTCCTCGCCGTTGTCGCCTTCCCTGGTCCTCTGGATCCTCTCGGTCATCCTGCTCCTGCTTCAGCTGCTGTTCCTCCTCGTCCTCCTCCTCCTCGTGTTCGTCCTCCTCCTCCTCGTCCTCCTCCCCTTCTACCTCGTCCTCTTGGTCATCCGGCACCTGGCCCGTCGGCGGATAGAGAAACATCAGCGCAATCGGAAGGGATGGGTGAGCAGGGATGGATGCCAGGTATGGCACGACACTGCCTAGCTTGATACGAGTACTTCTCTCCTCTCTCCCTTGACTCTGTCCAGGAGATGGTCGCCCTTCTTCGCATATTGGTATTGCATCGGATGTTAAATCCAATGTTCCTTCTTTGTTTTGTAGTAGGAACGGTCTCGGTGTTTCAAAATTGTGTTCCCGCTGCAGCGTAGGCCTCAGTTTGGGATCGGCGCTGTGTTCCCGTAGTTCAGAATGGTGATCTCGCCCCAGCGGGTGCCACGTTTGAAGGTCCGAGTCCTTCCTCATTGTTGTCCCTCCTCTCCTTCCCCCTCCCCCGCTTTCCCTGGTCATCCTGCTCCCCCCGCTCCTCCCACTCCATCTCCTGCTGTTGTTGCTTCTCCTCGTCCTCCTCCTTCCTCGTCCTTCTTATATTCTAGACGCTTCGCGTAATACCACCAGCCCATCCAGAAACGATGCCCAGACGAGTTTCCCTGATCAGGGATGTGGAGTAGAATGCCATGGAATAGAATTGTAGGGAAAGACGTCGTACCCCAAGAGTGGGAGAATGGAGGAGGAATCGGAGGAAGAGCAAGAGGAGGAGAAGAAGGAAGATGAGGAGGGAGAGGGGGAGGGGGAGGAGGGACGAGGAAGGAGGAGGAACAGGCGGATGAGGAATCAGATGAGGAGGTGAAGGAGGAGGACGAGCAGAAAGGCCAGAGGCCTCTTGGATGCCTCCTGAAGTCTCTGCGGATTTCTTTCGAGAGTTCCTTGGGGTCCTCTTGGGGCGTCTTGACGGTCCCTGACAGTTCCGAAGACCTCTTGAGGCGTATTGGGTGCTTCTGGGGGGCCTCTTGAGGCGTCTTTGGGGTCTCTTGGGAGCTTCTTGGGGGCATCTTGGGGGCCTCTTGGGCACCTCTTGGGGTCCTATTGGGGCACCCTTGGGAGCCTTGGAGACCATTTGTGTGCCATCTTTTAGGAGATCGATCAAAGCAGGGGGGCTCCCGAATTAGCCGCCCGCCCCATGAGGCCTGCCCGCCCGTCCAACACCATTCAGAGTGAGTGGGCCGAACGGTCAGTCACTGTCCCTGGGTGCGTGGCTGAAGTGGGACTCCGCTCCGCGGATTCTGCTTGTTGTTGTTGATGCTGCTGTTCAATTCTCACCCGTGGAGAATAATTGGTGATGATTCCCCCACCTTTGCACTTTGTTTTTCAATTGAAGTGCCCCCCCAGGGCTCGCACCTTTTATTTATCGGGGAGTCGTCCTGCTCAAAGTGTGTTGTTGCCCTCCCGGCTACAGCAAAAACAGTTCCCGCCTGATACTTAATCAGAGTGAGGGGGCCGGACGGCCCTTCATTGTCCCTGGGTGCGTGGCTGAATAGGGAGTTCGTGGTGAGAATTCTGTTTGTTGCGTTGTTGTTGTTGTTGTTGTTGTTGTTGTTGTTGTTGGTTGTTGTTGTTGTTGTTGTTGTTGTTGGTGTTGGTGTTGGTGTTGTTGTTTGTTGTTGTTGCGGTTGCTGTTGCTGTTGCTGTTGCTGCTGCTGTTGGTGGTGTTGCTGCTGTTGTTGTTGGTGTGATGGTTGGTGTTGCTGTTGTTGTTGGTGTTTTTGTTGATGTCGGTGTTGGTGTTGGTGTTTTTGTTGTTGTCGTTGTTGCTGGTGGTGCTGTTGCTGTTGCTGTTGTTGTTGTTGCTGTTGTTGTTGTTGTTGTTGTTGTTGTTGTTGTTGTTGTTATGTGTTGTCGTCGTCCCACCCGCGACCCACCCGTTGGCCCACCCCGCGACCCACCCAGCGACCCATCCCGCGTTCCACCCCGCAACCCAACCCCGCGACCCACCCGCGACCCAACCCGCGACCCACCCGTGACCCACCCCGCGACCCACCCGCGACCCAGCCGCGACCCATCCGCGACCCACCTTGCGACCCACCCGCGACCCACCCCGCGACCCATCCGCGACCCATCCGCGACCCACCCGCGACCCACCCCGCGACCCACCCTCAAAGGAGGAGAAACCACCCTCAAACGGCTTCGTTTTTCTGGGTGATTAGTATGGGGTGGATGTTCTGCCCTCTACACCCGCGACCCACCCCCGACCCACTCGCGACCCAACAGCGACCCACCCGCGACCCACCCGCGATCCACCCGCGACCCGTTTGCGAGCCACCCGCTACCCACCCGCGACCTACCCGCATTGGTTTAACGAAAAAAGTCGGCGCCTGCGGCGGGCTTGTTGCATAATTTGTGAAACTTTGGCGCCTGCGGCGGGCTTATCCAGAGTGTCGCAAACTGCCGACGTCCCCATCGCCCCCTCACTCTTATCCGCATCTGCGGTGTGCTACGGTAATTTAATCCAAGATCGCACTATCGCGCTGGCGTTCCTCAAAATGTATGCAGGAATCGCGCTCCCGCGTGGGACTTCACCACACTGTATTCAGACGCCGCGCCCTCGACACTCAGGAATAATGCCCTTGCTTTGGCGCTTTGGCTTTTCTCACGATTTACTTGGGAATCGCGCTATCGCTGGAGACTCCTTCGCGATTCATGCAGGTCTCACGCGTCAGCAACCCGCCTGCTCTACCTGACCGCCTGTGCCCGCCTTCCCGACCCGCCCCCGCCAGGGTCTGGTCGCCCGATCTGCCCGTCTGGTTCTACCATATATTTTCTAGTCCTAGCCCCCCCTCCTGCTAATGTCTCTCGTGCTCCATCCTTCTCCCTCCCCCTTCCATCAGCCCTTTCTTCCCCTGTTTCTGGGGCTGCACTACATGCATGTGGCAGGTAAGAAAGATAGACCCCCAAGGGGATACGATCGAAGACAAAGAAGGCTGGTACCGAGGGTTTGGGATAGACGTGTTGAAGTAGCACGCGGGCAGAGGAGCGAACAGTCTTAAAATGATTGCCGTTGTTGTTGGTGGTGGTGGAGTTGTTGTTTTATTTTCATATCGTACCAATAACTATTGTTGATCTCCTTCCTCCGGTAAACAAATAATTTGATTTTGAATTAAAGTGTTCTCCCGTGCTCGCACTCTTTTTTAACAAGGAAAACGTGAGGTGTTACAATTTGTGTTGTTGGGCCCCGGTTTACAACAACAGTGGCTCTCGCTTGATATTTCTTCACATTGTATTCCCATATCGCGTTCTCGCGCGGGACTTCCTCACAAACTATACAAGAGAATCACGCTCTCGCGTGGGACGTCCTCGCAATGTATTCAGATGCCGCGCCCTTGAAACTCAGGAATCGCGCTCTCGCTGTTGATTTCCTAACGGTTTACTTAAAAACGTGTTATCGTTTGAGGCATTCTCCCGATTCATGCTGGACGCACGCTTCAGCAACCTGCCTGCCCCTTGCCCCTTCCTTCCATCCGCCCTCTCTTACTGCACGGCATACACGCTGCAGGTAAGAAAGATACACCCTAAGGGGGTACGATCGAAGACGAACAGGTGGTTATCGATGATTTGGGATTGACGTGGTGAGGTACACGCAAGCAGGTAGGAGCGAACAGTCTTAAACTGAGTGGTTGTTGCTGCTGCTGTTGGTGTTGTAGTTGCTGTTGCTGTTGATGCTGCTGTTGAGCTCTCACTGTCGAAGAATACTTATTCTTGATCCCCCCCTCCAGTGCACATTATATGTTTCAGTTGAAGTGCCTCTCCTGGCGCTCGCAACCTGTTTTATCAAGGAAAGTCTTCCTCCTCAAATTGTGCCCCTGGCCCCCGGTTTACAACAACAGCGGTTCCCGCTGGATGCTTCCTCGAAATTTACTTCGGCCCCCCGCTCCCACTTGAGACTTCCTTTCAATTTACTCAAGGACCGTGCTCCCGCCTGAAACTTCCTCGCAATTTACTCAGGCGCCGCGCTCTTGCCATTCAGGAATCGGGCGTTCGCTTGGGACTTCTTCCACTTTACTTTAGGAATCGCCCTCTCGCTGGAAATTTCTTGGCGAACACCAGAACTCAGAACTCACAATCGATCCGCCCGCTCGGCCCGCCCGCGCCCGTCAGGGTCATGCCCGTCGTGCCCCATGCTCGCTCGCGCCCTATGTGGCTCATTGCTGCCCTTCGTGGCCCCTCCCCTCGTGGCCCAGTCGCTGCCCTTCGTGGCCCCTATGCTGCCCTCAGTGGCCTCTCGCTGCCCTTTGTGGCCCATATATATACACACACACGCCCTTCGTGGCCCCCAGTCGCTCGTGCCCTCAGTGGCCCCATTGCTGCCCTTCGTGGCCGCGCTGCTGCCCTCACTGGCCCCCTCGCTGCCCTTTGTGGCCCCTATGTACGCCCTT